AAATAAAATTTAAAAAAAAAATGTAAAAGATAAGGGGCTGCGCAGTGGCGCCCACCTGTGACTCCTGGGCTACTTAGTGAGTTCAAAGCCTCAACTACATGGGAAGACCTTGGCTCTAAACAACAAAAAGTCCAGAGATCAGGCCTAGCTCTCATCTGCCACTGGCGAACAAAAGTGGCAACACAAACCAAACCAAACCAGAGCAGGGCGTGATGGTGCACTCCTGTAATCCCAGCACTGGGAGGCTGAGGCAGGAGGATCACTGGGAGCTCCAGACCAGCCAGGGCTACAAAGTGAGCTCAAGCTCAGCCTGAGCTTCATAGGGAGACCCTATGAAAAAAGGGAGGGGGGCCGAGGAGATGGCTCAGTGGAATAAGTGCTTCCCTGGCAAGCGCAAGGGCCTGAGTTCAATCCCTGGTTCTGAAAAAAAAAAAAAGAAAAAGAAAAAGAAATAAAAAGGAAAGAAAGAAGTAAAACAAAACCAGAAAGTTTATAGCAGCTTTATTTACAACATTCCCAAGCTAGATGTAACTCAAAAGTTTATCAACCATAGAATGGATGAGTTGTGGGTTGTTTACTGGGGCAAACTTGCAGCAGTTCTCCTGCCTCAGCCTCCCAAGTATTTGGGTTACAGGTCCAGCATGGCCTTGAGATTTTCTTTCTTTCTTTCGTTCGTTCATTCGTTCCTTTCTTGCTCCATAGTCCAGGCTGTCCTTGAACTCAGTATGTAGCCCAGGCTGGCCTCAAACTCATGAAGGTCCTGCCTCAACCTCCTCAGTACTAAAACCTTTAGATTTAGAATTTGAAAATCTAAGGGAGATGGCTCAGTAGAATAAGCACTTCCCTGGCAAGCACAAGGGTCTGAGTTCGATCCCCAGTTCCGCCAAAAGAAAAAAAGAAAATCTAAGGTTCTGACTCTAAACAGCATGTGTAATGACAGTATTAGCATCTTCTCTTTTATTTTTTATTTTTTTAATTTATTTGTGTGTGTGTGGCCAGCTCAGCCCACCAGGGGGCGGGGCTGGCTGGCCTGTGGTGCTGGGGGATTGAACCGCCGTCCCTGTGCTTTGCTAAGCTTGTTCCAAGTAGGTGCTTTAGACCACTGAGCCATCTCACCAGCCCCACATCTTCTCTAATTGCTGTTTGAAAGAAGAAAATAGCCAAGTGCAGAGCCTAATACCTATAATCCTAGGGTCTCAGCTGAGGCAGGAGGATCACAAGTTCCAGGAAAGCCTGGGCAATTGAGCAAGCCCCCGTCTTGCAATAAAATATGAATTCAAGGCTAACATGGGCTACAAGTGAGTTCAAAGCTACAGTGAACCACACAGGGAGACCCTGTATCCAAAAGGAGGGTCACGGGGGGCCAGAGAGATGGCTCAGTGGAATATGCGCTTCCCTGGCAAGCACAAGGGCCTGAGTTCGATCCCCGGTTCCGCAAGAAAAAAAAAAAAAGAGGGGCACTGGGAATATAGCTCAGTGGCACAAGTGCCTGTCTGGCAAGTGCAAGGAGCCAAATTTGATTCCCAGTACAAGAATTTTTTTTTTCCAGCCGGGCATAGTGACATATGCCTGTAATTCCAGCTCTCAGGAGGCTGAGGCAGGAGGATTGCCATAAATTCAAGGCCAGCCTGGGGTAGACATCGAGATTGTCTCGAAAAACAATTTCATTAATTAAAAAGAAATTAAGGGGCTGGTGAGATGGCTCAGTGGTCTAAAGCACCTACTTAGAACAAGCTTAGCGAAGCACAGGGACC